TGTCTCAGGGGCCCTCAAACGGCGCAGGAGGACCTCTGACTGATATTTCAGACCACGACCCTACGGGCTGCCACTCTTCATATAACCTACAGGTAGCCCTGTGGTCCCTTACGCCTTCCAACAGGCCTTTGATCGTCGGTTCTGTTGGACCACCCTTCGGGCCTCATTGAAAAGTGCCCTTTGTCGGCTTGAGGCCCTTTGCGCTCACAGGATCCTTTGTTAAGCGCTATGGGCCTCTGGTAGATACAGGGCCAGTATAGATCACTGGCCCCGGGTTTGTAGCTGATTGGGAAGCGGGCCCTCAGGCCAATACCGGCACGCATCTGACTGTGTGGTACTGGCGGTGCCTGGATTCCAACCAGCCTTCATGCCCTTGGGCCCCAAAATCGGGCCCTTGATCGTCGGACCCGGTGGGCCCTCTAGGCTCTTCGAGCCTCCTCGAACACTGTCTCTGGCCGGCTCGGGGCCCTTGCCAGCACAGGGCCCCCCTCACCCCCGTTAGGCGCTGTGGCAGACGCTGGGGCCCTGACCAATGCGAATCGCTGGCTCCGGCTGCATCCCCGCTTGGGATATGAGCCGTCAGCTCCATGCCGCCCTGGATCCGGCTCTGCGTTACTGCTGGTGTCCGGCCGACATTCAGGCCGTTGAGAATTCAGGGGGCCGTGATCGGCGAACAGAGGCCTCTCGCTGGCATTGCATTGCCGGCCCTGCGGGCCGTGGCTCCTGAATCCGATCTCCAGCCGGTTCCGGCCCCTCCGAACTTAAGGGGTGGGGACATAGGCCCGCTGTACCCCTCCCACACCCTGCCTACTCTATTGTATGCACCACGATAAATTTCAAGAACAGACCGTAATCGGACACGGTGTTGCGAAGGTGGCAGGATTGTAGACATCGAGCGACGAAGGTTAAGAGCAGGAACTGAGCTTCGACGACAACGTAAGTTTGAAATATTCCTTCTACGGCATGCTTTGCTATCAAAGGTGACCGGAGAATGGAAAGCAACACTCTTACCCTTGCAAGGCAGACCGCAAACATCAAGTCTGCCGGTTTTCTTTGAGCGTATTTTGAAGACACCCAAAAGCGTTAAGTGGTCTTAGGGTATTTTGCTACAAGGTACTAAATTTACCTATCATGAGAAGACGCAAATAAAATGGGGAGGTGAGCTAAATTTCTCAGAGACGTTGAATCGGAGTCATATGTTTTAAGCACACATAAAAACATCATGGATTTCAAGCTGATGTGGCTTTAGTTCCGCAATTTACATCGCACACTGCCAACGATCAGGCGTCTTGTTCGGTACGGGATACACGATATGACGAATGTCAGAAATGTCCAGAACGGGGCAATACCATTTCGTACACGTTTCGGCACCCTCCTGATGTTTTGGGTCGACCGAGAGCGTGTCTTGCAAAGCCAACTTGCAATGAAGTCCTTGATCCCGGGACACCACGAGGGCAACTACCCCTGCACTTGGGAGCAGTGCTGATGGACATTACGTCAGGTAACCGCAGCATACTACATCAGAGTTGAAAAATACATAGCAGCCGTCACAAACAAGATGGACATGTTCTGCGATATGCGGACCCGCTTGGCCGAGCTCTTGAAGGACGGGGAGAGACCGCCTTGAACTGTCCATTGTTGCACGAGGTGCACGACATGGTGACGGACCAGCCGGGAGATTTAATTCGTTTGGACGTTAATGGCTGTTGGGCAATTTGGTGACATAATTATTTGGACATTCTCCGCTCGTGGGCAGGCAGAATAACTGACCGTCGTGGGGAAAGGGAGGACAGGAGAGTGAGTTAAGGGTAGGAAGAGCGGGGTGAGAGGAGGGGAATGGGGATGAGCTTTTGCACGGAGGTAACCCGCGTGCATTAAGAACACGGGGTTGCCACACATCCTTGGCAATTTGCGTTGAGAACCACCTATGCGACTACATTGTGCATATGCAAGAAAACTTTCATTTATCAAGCGTCATAGTAACGCCATTTACATTTTACCATTCCATAAGGTATGCGGCGATCAAGGCCGAGAAAAATATGATCGTCGAGTCGTTCATATCTGGCGTTCGTGAGCACGTTTCCAGGTGTAACCGCTGTCAACTGCTCTCAATCAACATTGTGCAAGGTGCGATAACGTGAATTGAGCACGATGACGATGGCAAACGATGTAGGTACGATGACGATGACAAGCAATGACTATCAAGGAGCATATTCACTAAGAAGAGAAATTGTGTTGTCTAGGGGCATCTTTTCTACTAAAGTGTACCAAAAGCCATAAGTGAGCTTTTTTCATCATTATTCATCATCATCATCTGCTTTCATATTTTCAAATTTAAAACATTCACTTTTAGAGTGGGTGACGTAACATCCCGGTCCGCAGGAGAAACAGCGACAGTGATAAAGGGTGTTTGGTGTGTTGATTATTGAAACAAATGTGTTTTAAATGTGCTGTCATTTTGATGTTAATCGCGTTTGAGCTGGATGTTGCATGTTGTGTTGGTAGTCCATGTGTTGTAAATGACCCCTGATAACCAAATGTGCCTGTTAAAGTATGATTTTCACACTAGGATGTCTTGATTGTGTATGGAAATAGGAAAGTGTAAAAAGTAAAAGAGGAACAAGAAAATGACAAAAAACAAAACATACTAAATTTGAACCTATCTAAAAACTCGCTGTTTGCCCGGGCATATGAAAATGACATGCATAATAAACTGAGCCAATTAAAACACTAAGTTCTGGACTTCTTAATCCATGGTTTTGACTAGGCATGTGGTATTCATTTCTTTGATCACTCGTTCAGGATTACAGAATCAGGGGCGGATCGAGGATTTCGTCAAGCATGCAAATCCTGGCCCTCTAGAGTTTAAGGCCCCTCCATAAAATCATCGTGTTCCTGCCACTCTATTGTATTAATCTTAGCGAGCTATTTTTATACGGGAGCCCATCTCACTGTGCGCAGCCGTACAGAACTAGGCGTGTTACGTATGCACATACATGAAGCTTTTCATTTCCTCCAGATCATGGTGAATCCTGTCATTCTTGGGTCCAGTTTTTCGAGAAAAAGATCGTGGAAAAATAAACCTTAGTTGGTTATGAATATCAAAAAGCTGGTGAAGAATAGATTAAACTCAAGCATACACTTGATTCCTGGCTTATTTACAGCTAGCCGGCAGATCGATGTGATCAGCTGATGGCTGATTACTGATGCAGAGTTTTTACTTTCTTCGCTATGATGGGGAACACAACCTCCTAGCATTTGAAATGTATTGAGAACGTGATGCACAAGTATAAAAGTTGTCACAAATTCAGTAGCCAACGGATACAACATATACGACTTCGGCAGCAGGTGATATTAAGTTCGAACTTTGCGCGTAAAAATTCGCTGGTGGACACATAGAGCTCCGGCAACAGCATAACGCGTATAGACAGCGTAATGAGCTTCAAGATGGCCCCCAATTACCACCCTGTCAATCACCAAAGACCTATTGATAAAGCTTATGGACCTGGCAAGTTTTATCTGTCTACCCACGGGGCCCCTCACTTCGCTTGCGACTGTTCTTGGTCTTCTGGAGACCTAAATGTGCCCAAGTTTGTCGTGTTTTGTGTTACAAAACTGCGTCCGTTCGTCCCGCGATTAGCCGCTTCGGAGCCTATGGGTTCCCTTAGGTACAAAGAGGCGTGGTCCCGTGTCCCTACCCCCTGGATCCGCCGCTGGCCCGAGCAGCTAACTAGATGGGGCCCGGACAAGAACATAGAGCCAACCATTACAAAAAGAAGCACCAAAGACACAGTATGGGGGCCCCAGGAATGATCGAGTATGACCGAGCTGGTTAACGGATGGGGCCCCACAAGAGCGTGGGGCCCTTCATTCAAATAAGAAGTACCCAAGACCCAGCGTGAAGGGTCCCGAACGATCGAGTGCACTCAAGCAGGCTATCAGATGCCCCCCCCCCCCCCCCGACAGCAGGGTAGGGTCCTATATGCAAATACCGAGGCCCAATATCTAAAGCAACCCACGAACACGTGTGCCAAAGCATGTTGACGGATGGGCCCCACGACAAGTGTAGGGCCCTCCATTTAGATTAGAATTACCCAAGACCCAACTTGGAAGACCCTGAACGACCGATGTACAGGGCTCACGAACATATCACGGCTATGTCGTTGGGTTAACCGCGGCGACATGTCCCCTGCTACAACGTATCGAGCCTTTCGGGCGAATGGGAGGCGGTCGGGCTCACCCCGCAAAAGAGCATCTGGCGTCCCCGGAAGCAGCGTAGAGTTGGCAACTCTTCTGGAAATGTCTCGCTGCGATATTTCCCCAGACAGGCCGTTTTCGCTATCGTCCAAATATCCGCTTTGACCATTTCAGATACGCGAGCGCCAGTTGAAGGAGTCGCCTGCCTCGCTGATGTTAGTGATTTGGGGATTTTTTCTGACGTTTGACCTAACCCAAAGATACCATTGCACAAAAAGTAAGTATAGGGATATCGACTGAGAGATATCGACTAAGTGGCACCAAGATTAGGCGTGGATCACCTCTGTGGCCCTCGAGCAAAGCTACTGGGGTAAAAGGCTACAAGGACGTGACGTCATGATGGGACTAAGATTTGGTAGCCCGCAGTATGATTTTTGGTTGATACTTTCGAAAAAGCTGGTAGATACTAGTCACGATTTAAAACGAAAGGAAGCGTGTATATCGAATCAAATCTGAGTCGATTTACACAGGAGTGGCATTCTGTGTAAATCCACTTCGTAGTGGGTTTAAGTAGAGGAACTGCTCGGTGTAGATGTACTCATTAGTCGATTTACACGCGTCCTTAAACTTAAGGTGTGGAACAGAATTGCGACCCAATTCATCGGCGAAATTCGTTTTTTTGTCATGTGGCCTGCATTTACCAAATTTTTCGTAGTATCAGCCAAAAATCATACTGCGGGATACCAAATCTTAGTCGCATGGTGACATCAAGTCTGCTTAGCTTTTACTCAAGTAGCCTTGAT